GGGTGAGGGTTGGGGGCCTAAGAACATCCTGAAGGGGCCACTGTCTTCTCCACGGTTTTCCCCTCGTGCGTGACGTGGCAGCTGTAGCTGCTGCGGGACTTCCACTGCTGCGGCGTGAGGCTCAGGTAGCTGCTGGCCGCGTACTTGTTGTTGCTCTGTTTGGAGGGTTGGGTGGTCTCCACTCCATCCCTGACAGTGTTGCCATCTGCCTTCCAGTCCACTGTCACGGCTCCCGGGTAGAAGTCACTTATGAGGCACACCAATGTGGCCTTGTTGGCTTGGAGCTCCTCAGAGGAGGGCGGGAACACAGTGACCGTGGGGGTGGCCTTGGGCTGACCTGGGAGAGGGGCAAAGGGCAGAAGGTCAGAGTCCTGGTGTCCACCTGGGAGCTCCCGGCCTCAGTCTTGAGGTGGGCGCAGGACTAAGGCCCAGGACAGGGACCTCAGGCAGGGCCCTTCCTGCAGGAGGTCAGCTTGGCGGTGGTGGGGACACTCACCTCCCAATGGGAAGCGCCTCAGCGTCGGAGGACTGGAGAGAATCAGGTCTCTTTCACTCCAGCCTCCTTTCTAGATTCCCCTCCTTGTCAGCCAGGCCTCACCTCACCTGTGCTCCCCGCTGCTGGCTGGGCAGGGTTTAGCCCTGGGCCCCCGTCTTTCCTCAGGGAATATCTCTGTCTCAACAGCCCTGCCAGGTCCCTCTGTGTCTGTTCATGAGGGATTCTGTGTCCTGTTTTAAGGTTCTCCTCCCTTTTGAGGAGTGAGTTTCTTCCCCAGGGGTCCCCCTTGGCGCCATCACTGCAGTCCCAACCTCACTTTCCCATCGAGCTCCCGTGTTGGGGAGAGGGCGTTAGTCCCGGGGCCGGGTCCCCGGGAGTCCCTGGGAGTCCAGGAGAATGAGGCCTTGCTCTGAGGTATGTTTTCTGGTCTGAGCCTGGGGCTGTGTGTGTTCCACGGGGTCTCTTGTCATATTGGGAGATCTGGCTGTTCTAGGATGTCTGTCTGCCCTGACAGTTCCCTG